AGTTTAGAAAACAATTACAGTGTTATCCTGTGTGAGTGCTATTGGAGTATATGTGCCTCCTATGATTATTTTGTACACATGAAGCCATCTTTTATGGATCAAGCACCCCAAAGAACACTTGAATTTGCAACAAAGAATGGTTGGATAAATGAAGAACAATTTGATATCTGGTTTGACTACTTCTTACAATTTACTCAACCGTCAAACTGCAATACGACAACTTTACTTATATTAGACGGTCATAGCTGTCATGTAAAGAAGATAAAAGTGATATTAAAAGCTCGCAGAAACAATGTGATTATATTAAACATTTTAAGTCATTGTACCCATAAAATGCAGCCACTAGATATTTCTTTTTTTAAATTCTTAAGCTTACAATACAATTCAATTGTGCAGTCATCGTCAACACCCTGGTAGACTAGTAACAGAGCCCCAATTCAGAAATCTGTGCAGCACTGCTTATGGTCAGGCTGCTTCAGTGAGTAAAACTGAGAGTGGATTTCGTAAATCAGGAATTCATCCTTTTATTCGTCTCATTTTTACAGATGAAGATTTTATAGCAGCTGCAGTGACAAATCAAGAACAGAACACTTATAACATCACACTCAGTGATTCACAGGAAAAAGTAACAAACGACCAGAGCAATCTAACCAGAACACATTCTATTTTAAAACAATGCAGTAGTCCTGTCACTAAAACATTTGCCCAACTACTTGATGAGTTTGTATCTCTCAATAAAACATCAAAAAAACGAAGATCTGTTCAACATGCTACTATATTACCAGTTCACCATATAGATCTGTACTTGAAAGTTCTAAAACAAAAAAGATGTTGAATAAAAAAACCTCAGCAAAGTTAGGACATACACACAGAAAAAGGAAAATCAATTTAAATGCTGCCAGTGAGGTTCCAAGTAAGATTAATAAACCAAAAGATAAAATGCTAGAGAACACAGTAAATTAAACATATAAGCTGAATGTGTGTAAAGGCACACACATTCTATTTATAAATATATACTTTTACTTTTTAAACAGTTTTTTCAAATATAACACTTCTTAAATATTGTTTATAATACATAATAAATAAAACAATTGAAAAGTATATATATAATGTTATTTTAATTAATATCTTAAAATTGCTGTTAAAGAAATTTTAAATATTTTTATTTATAACCTATCTTTTATTTTAGGATATTTCAACTAATCAAAACAAAACAAATAATGAAAATGAAAATAGCCGGACTGATCAAACGTTTTATATGATAAATGAAATTTTATACAATGAGTCTGAAGTGCCATGGAGTCAATGTAGCCTTTTCAAGAATTGGTACTGTGAATCGTTTACTTGAAAAAAAAACTAAAATCTGTTTTTTTTTTTGTAGTAATTGTGTATATGTAATTTTCTCGCTCAAAACAAAACTTCATTTCTTTCCAAAAATTGGTATTGTGGTTTATCCTCCTCCAGCTAATTGCTATATAGAGGCCACATTACCAAGGCCCGCAAAGACAGGTTCGACTCCCCAAGGAGCGTCATAACCCGCTCTACGGACCAAGAGTAAAATGAGTTTAGGAAGAACGAAGATATGTTAGGGTGAAAGACAGAAGTAGTCGTGTTAGAAAGATAGCATGAAGAAAGCGGACAGGATTGCACTCGATGTTAGGAGATGCAATAGGTAGTAAGTGACCGGGTCCCCGGCCCCAGCTAAAAACAGAGGTTTTTGCAAACCCGGCCCCGGCCCCGGCTAAACAAACACAATTTGCAAGGGTTACTAGCCGGGGCTAACAAAAATAAATTCAACTATTTTCTAGTATTTATCAATTTATTTACATTTAAATACTTGAATAGCTCAACTATGTGCAGCCGTGGCGCAGTGGTTAGAGTTCTGGCTCAGAACCCAGAGGTTAGAGGTTCGACGCCAGCTCTAGCCCAACAAGCGACATTGGTACGGAAGGAGGCGTGAACTTCCTGTTAAATGCTCTCCCGCGGTGCTCTATGATAAGACCGTAAGGAATTCTGGGAACACCTAAATACATACAAAAAAAAAAAAATTTATCTTATAAAATTTATTTTAGGATATTTTAAACACCCTGATTGTTAGCAATTTTTAAATATTTTTTCAAATTATTAACTTTGTTTAAGAATTTCAAATAATCAATTTATTACATGATGGCCATTGACTTCTACACTGTTAAAAAAAATAGCGCGTTTTTTACGGAAAAGTTCCGGCAGCTGCCGATGACCAAACTACCCGTTATTTTATGGGAAAACCCATCGCATGTTAACGGATGTTTCCGTTAACAAACGGATTTTTTCCGTTAAAATACAATTGGTTTTTTCCGTTAAACAACGGGTAGTTTGGTCATCGGCAGCTGCCGGAACTTTTCCGTTAATAAACGGACACTTCCGTTTAAATTAAACAAGTTTTTCCCGTTAAACAACGGAAAGGAAACTCAGCTGCCAGATAGTTTCCATAAATAAAAATAAAATTTAAATAAATTATTTCTAGCAAATCTTATATATATAAAATCAATGGTATGTTTTTGAAAATATTTTCTGAAAACAAATTTTATTTTATTTACATAAAAAATATTAAAATTTCCGTGATTATACATTTCACTTCAACAACAATTACACAAATAAATAAAAAAAAATAGTAAAGTAATAAACATTTTCTAAAAAATTATTAACAATTTTGATAAAGTATATACAAGCACTTAATAATATAATTATATTACATATTCCTATATACATTTACAAGATAGATATACTTAAAAACATATCTTTAAGTAATATATATTGGTTAAATAATAAATATAAATATAAGTAAATCAAAATCAATCCAATTACACAAAAATACAGTCTTTCCTTTCTTATCTATTTTGATTCAACTCTAAATCTACAAAAAAAAAAAAAAAAAAAAATAAAGTTTTTGAGTAAGGAAAGATTTTAATATTTAACAAAGTAATAAATTATAAAAAACACTCATTATGTGCAATGGTTACCTTAAAGTTGTTACTCAATATAAGTGATTTAACTAAGGCCAAGCAACAGACAACTCTGGATAAAGTTAAAAACTCTTTTGATCAATAAATAAATGCCTACAAGTAATAAAAACTTGAATTGAAGTATAATACAAATAGAGATTTTGTAAAATATAACTCAGTTTGTTTTGTCATTGTAATGGTGATAACCAAATTTTCTGTTAATGTCATTGTTGGCGCCATTTTTGTTAAATAAATAGAAATCTTTACAATTTCTTTAAAATCAAATTCCAATAATTAATTAATAAATTTACTAAAAAAATAACTCAACAATATAACAACAAAACCCAAATTTTCTTTTCTATAATGAAAACTTATCAAATTAATATTTTTATTTAATATAAAACTATTTCAAAAATTAAATTTAAAATGTATTAATAAAGATACTTACTTAGGTCTAACCTTAGCAAGCTAAAAAAAATTATAAAACATAACTACAGTTATGTTTTATAATTTTTGGACAATGGACCAGATAGGTAAAAATTATTTCATTTATAAATTTTAAATTTTCTGTTATATTATATATAATATAAAAGAAAATTTTAAATTTATAACTGAAATCATTTTTACCTATCTGGTCCATTGTCGTCATTAATAAAATAAATATATAATCAATGAAAAACCTTTTATCATTTAAAAAAAAATATTTTTTTTGTTTATGCTGAAGTTAAAAATTGTTAAAAACCAAAGTACAATACCTATCTTGGATCCTTTTATTTTTTTTTTTGCAGAATATCTACCTTGATAGACTATAATAAAATATATTTAAAAAGTATAAGAAGTCTTATAATTTTGAAAAAATATATTTTAATTTTCATGGGTAGGTTCCGTACAAATAACGGAAAATAATTCCGTAAAAGTACGGGAATTTTTAACAGTGTAGAATATCCAGGTTGCTGACTTGTTTGTTCTTTTATCCGGAAAGAACAAAGTAGATCAGATGAATATATGGTGTCTTTAAAAGATAGGAAACAAAGCAATGATCTTAGAGATAGTATGAGAGTAGTAATTATATTTATAGTGTGTATCAGAGATGATAATGATGCCAATGATTAAGATGATGATCATTGTCATCATCATCATCAGAATCATCTTAATCATGAGCATTTTTGCTGTCATTTTAAAACCTCTGTATTTCTAAAATAATATTTTGCGTGCCGAAAAATCAAATTAGATCATGAGTAAATATTGTTTATTCGCCCTAAATATTGTTTATTCGCTAAAATATTGGTCACAGCATAGTTATTTTTAAAAAAAAAAAAACACTTGATATATTTTTGCTTTTGTTTAATTTGTATTGCATTATATCTTAAAATGACATTGTTGATGACACAGTTTTGGATAAAATTGAAAATTTTGTTTAGGGGTTGTCCATAAAGGACGTGCGCTTTTTTACGTCTACCTCCTCCCCCCCCCCGCATTTTGCGATACGCTTTTTTGAGTATCTTTTACCTCCCTTAAAGTACCTAAGCTTTTAACCTTTTTATCTAACATTTTATGATTTTTTTAAAATTTAGTTTCTCCTTTCTTTTTTAATTGACCCACTGCCCTCCGATTTCACATACGCCATTTGCAGACCCCCTCCTTCCCTCCGAGCGTACGTACTTTATGGACGATTCCTTACCTGATATTCGAGGGCCTTTGCGAAGCTTAAAAAACGACTTTAAAAAAGATTTATAAGTGGTTGTTTGACCCAGGGGCATATAAGTTTATTCAGCAAAAGAAAATTAAAAGCAAAAAAAGTGATTTTGAAACATTCGTTATTAAGGGTTTTACCAACATATTTTTTTTTTTTTAAAACCAACTACCGAGTAAAGGTTCAAACGCACGATAGAAAAAGTAAGTATAAATGAGCCCACTATATTAGAAAAACCGCCTAAAAATCTAATGTTAGTGTAAATCAATTCTAAATATTTTTTATTAATTGATAATTAGCAGCGCTAATAATAAAAACCTTTGTTGAGTTTATCCTTAAATATTTTATTTTTTATACTTCTATTAAAACTGTTTTTTCTTTTTATGAACTTGATCAGAATCGGTCTTTATTGAAACGTAAACGGCGTGAAAACATCTTTAAACTAACTCCTCGCAAAGAATTTAGAAGTAAAGGATTTTTTAATAAGAAGTTTTTGTATTTCTTCGTAAGAAGGAAAGTTTTCTAAATTACCAATAGCCGCAACTGAAAGTTTTGAAGATAACATCTTTTCGGATATTCTTCTCAAATCATCAGATGTTACCGCTTCTAAAATTTAAATTAAAAAAACTTAGTGAAAAGGTTATGCTGCAGACATTTGTTAAGTAAAATATTTTTTAAATGTTTACGGAATAATAATATAAACGTTTTTAGGGATTTATATAATAAATGTTGCTCGCATCTGGCCAGATGTTTTATTTTTAGGGTAATTGTTTTATCTAAAAATAAAACATTTGAAAATAAATATAAAATAAAGGGGAGAGTGTGAACTTAAAATACAAATTCGTTAATATTTATATGTTTAATAACTTAAATCCAAAATTCATTGTTAGCCTATATATTCTGTATGATAAAGTTACTAGATTAAAGACATAAGTCTATAATTAATTTAATAGTATCGCGTTAATCGAGAGACCTGAAAATCCAATGATAAGCAGCTATTTTATAGTAAAGCAATATTGACAAATAAAATGTATAGTCTAAATATTAACAATATATTTTCATTGAATCAATTTATTTTTCCAAAATATAATGTTCTTAGAAGACAGTAACCATATTTATAAACATCTTTATCTATGTGTATTATATATACTTTAATATATATTTAAATTTATGTATATTATAAACATTTGGTGTATCCATATTGACAAGGAATTTAAATTTTTTAGTTTAAAGTAATTTGTTTTACTTAAATAAAATATTTAAAACCGGTCATATCAAGGATGGAATTCATACAAATTTTATATACAAATGTATATATGTATCTATATTATATAAAAACATACATTCACACATATAACTTATGTGTTTATGTTACATACATACACACATACATGACAATGTATGATACATTGACAATACACATACATGACAATGTATGATATATATATATATATATATATATATATATATATATATATATATATATATATATATATATATATATATATATATATAAACTAATTTAAAACATCAGATAATACGAATTCTCTCAATACTAAATAATTTATTTGAAATTTTCGCCGGATTATAAGCACCGGCATCATCAGCATATAATATAATATAATTACAAAAATTGTGACCGTTAAATAGCAACAAAGAATTTTTAAATTTTGACGTCACCTTTATAATGGCTTCTTTTACCTAAGTATGAAAAAAAATGAAGTCCAAAAATTTGTTTTTTAATATTGTCCATTGTCCAAATTCATACCACCGTACGTTGGAGAACATTGATGTTTTTGTATCTCTAAGGCCTCAACGGACTTTTTTTTCAAATTTTTTATCCTCAACTTTAAGTGTCATTACTTTATTCCATTCAATGTCCTCATTACAATTTACCTTATGCAAAGCTAATGGTTTAAGACTGGTTTAACTTGCCTTCAGTCAAAAATTTTTGGTGTTGTTGAACCCTTGTTCGTATTTGAAGTTTTGTTTCACCAACGTATACTTTGGAGCATTTGCACTTAATTAAATAGGTTCCTGGGGTGCTGTTGCATGGTAATTTAGACTTATTTTTAGACGTTTATATATATATATATATATATATATATATATATATATATATATATATATATATATATATATATATATATATATATATATATATATATATATATATATATATATATATATATATATATATGTTTGCCTTAAGGCCAAATATTAAAGCCTTAGCCTTGGTCTTGGCCTTAAAACTGTTGGGCTTGGTTTTGGCCTTGATTGTTTTAACCTTGGCATTCAAAAAAAAAACAAACATAAAATTAAAGAACTAAAACTTTTCATTTTTTATTTTTATGTATTTTTATCTTTGATATAAATCTCCAAATATATTTTCTTATTGACTTGCATAACCTTGGTTTATTTTCACAATATATGGTTTATTGCCACAGCAATTGTTACCTACAGGTTTGTTAATAATTAGCCTTAACGTTAGGCAAAAATTTAGGTCTTTGGTCTTGAGAATGTTTGCGTAGGCCTTGGCCGTGAATCTCTTATTCTTGGCCTTGAACTTAAAACTCTTGGCCTTGTAACTTTTAGCCTTAGCCTTGTATCATGTAGCCATGGCCTTGCTACTTTTGGCCTTGTTAACAACTCTGTATATATACATTTGTTTGTATATATACATGTTTTTAGAAATATTGTGACTAACTATTTGAATAAATAATATTTAAATTTTGTTTTACATATTCTTTTTAGAATTAAATCTTTAATATCATAATTAAGACTACTTTAATTCTGTAATCTTTGAAATGTGACGATTTACAAGTTGTAGCTTGTAAATCGTCACATTTCAAAGCAAAATTTTTGTTGCATTAAGCATCTGAAAAGTTTTTTTTTTAATTTTTTTAGGAATTCAGTACAAAAAAAAATAACTTCTTGATCACAGCAGATTATTTAAACCTATGCATTCACCTTATTGAATCTTTTTTCATAAATTATCTTTTTTTCAAAATTGCACCTATGCTTTTTCTTAGTTACATTTTTTTAAGGAGTTAGTGTAATTAATTTTAGGTTTCTGAATATTTTTACTTATGGCTGGTTTTAAATAGTAAATTCAATGTTATACTACATTTTTAGCAAATAAAATTGTTTTTAAAGCATAAGGTTTTAAATATTTTTGTAAACGGCAACCATTTATATTACTTTTTAAAAAACAAATATGACTTGCTTAAGAGGTAATAAAATTATTTTGCTTGGTCTACCTGAATTCAAAGGATATCTATTTAAAAAGGATTAGCTAAGATTTTTTATTTATACTTATCTTCTAAAATCTACACAGAAAATTATATATATATATATATATATATATATATATATATATATATATATATATATATATATATATATATATATATATATATATATATATATGTATATATATATAGGTCCAACTATGTCTACAATGCGCTTTTGCACCAGGTTTAGATTTTGTTACCTACCTAAAGACAAAGCTGAATTGTTTGTTAAAAACTTTTTATCAATCTTATCTCTTGATTCCACTAACCTGATATGATTACTGGAATCAAGAGATGAGATTGAAGTTAATCCATCGTTTGACATTTGTATCACTGAGCTTCATTTAACGTGATTTCCTGCTTAGACTCTTCTACAGCTTGTAGTCCGGACAACATACCTGTTATAGTCTTGCAGAAGTGTTATGCAGAGCTGTCGTCTATACTTTTAAAAATATATAACAAGTGCTTATCAGAGTCTTGTTTTCCAGTGTGCTGGAAAGCGCCATCTGTTATCCATATTTTCAAAATTTCTGGAGAGAGACCTGAATTGTCTAACTACCATCTCATTAGTCTTCTTCCTATCATAAGCAAAGTTTTTGAGTCTTTAATTAACAAACACCTAATCTCTTATCTTGAATCTAATAACATACTTTTTTATCATCAATATGGATTTTGATCTTCTTATTCTACTGCTGATTTGTTAGTGGTAATAACTGATAGGTTTTATTGTGCATTAGATAGATGTAGAAAGGTAAAGGCTTTCGCTCTCAACATTTCTAATAGTAGTTGTAGCTGGATGCCCAGTTAACATCTGCCCATATTTTTATTGAGACACCATCTCTAGCCTTTACTCAATCAAGAATTATATAATCAAGAGTTATATACTACTCAATTATACTGAAATTAAGAATTATATAACTTTAAATTAACAACAACCTGATTTTTTTTTTTAGATTAGTTAACAGATTATTATTCTTAAAAGAATTGTTAGTTTTCGAAAAAGAGTTATGGTTCATTCATAGAACAAAATGGCTCTTTCATTGACATGTTATGAAAGAGCTGTTTCCTTTCTTTTTTTTAATTAGGTGAATGACAGATTATTAGTATTTTTTTAAATTAGGTATATGACAGATTTATTAATAAGGGCATTGTTATTTAATTAATTTTAATTTTATAATTATTTAAAAAAAAAAAAATCAAAATTTAGTTTTTTTCAAACTTTTTAAAACTCTTTCATACACACTTTCCTACAATCCATCACTTTATGATAAGATGCAAGGCTCAATTTAATTTTCTATAAAGTCCCAGACAAAATATCCGATCAAAACTTGTTTGGGTTGGACATTGTCTGATCAAATTTAGAAAGTATAATTTTTACGGTTTTATGGAACCGAGTTGTGCAATCAAAATCTTTGTCATGTTATTCAGTTTATTCAACGTTAGTCTAGTTCATAGTAGATTTCTATTTTTTAATAAAATAGGTTCAATTCAATATTGTACGTTTTTTAAATAGACTTAAAATTTCACCCTGTAACAGACAACGCTTTTTTTTCCTTTTCTTTTTAATTAGACAACGGCTGTTTTGATGTTTTAACAATTTATATGCAATTAAAAAAAGCGTTACGAATAACCTGATCTTGATTGATTGATCTTTTCTAAAATTTTTACTTAACGCAAAGGCTTTGAATAAAAATCAATCCAAAAATTAGTTATAATGATAGTTTAAAATTAAATATGTGTAAATTAAATGATATATTTAAATTTTTTTTATTAGGTATGTATTTTTTATGATAAACTTAAACATTTGAAACTATTTTTTCATGTCGTTCTAAAAATTTTTAAGAGATTATTTTTTTTGTAAACTTGACTTATTATGTATTGACTAATTAAATCATAAATTGGTTAAAAATTATGATATTAAAAATACAACGTTATTTTTTTAAACAACATTATTTTGTAAACTTTTTGAAAAAGTTGTATATACAAACTAAAAATACTAAATTTTTTTCTTTTCAATAATAAATAAATTTTTTTATTTATTAAACAATCATTAGAAGTAATTTGTAAAAATTTATTGCATCACTTTTATTAAACGTTTTAAAAGATCAGTTTTAAAGTAATTTTTTTCAAATGCAATTAAAAACGTGACAAAATGTAATTTCTACGTCGATTTTTTTAAGTTTTATTTTAAGGATGAGTCGCATTCACGTGTGAATAGACTATATCTTATTATAGTCTATTCGTATGTTTAAAAAAAAATTTCAAGTTATATTTTTAATATGAAATTTTTTTATAACTTAAGTCATATATTTTGAAAGCAATTTAATTTTTCTAATCAATTATAATAAAAATAAATAAAATTAATTAATCATAATTAAATTTTTATTCAAAAAACAAACAAAAACGTGCCAATAGATAAAATAAACATTAAGAAATACTTCTTTTTTCAATTAAAAGATTGTCTGCCCAAGCCAAAACCTCGTCATTGTATTTATACTATACTGTGCCCATCGTTAGATAAACAGTTAATATGTATATACACTATGGTGTGCATATCCTTCAAAAGTCAGTCATTGTAAATACTGCGTTAGTACTCTACTGCCCTAATTTAATTTTAAAATTAAAAACCAATAATATTAAATCTAAGTTTTTTAAATTGCCTTTAAATTCGATGATCTTTACCTTTTTTAATTAGACATGCGAATAGACTATAATTAAATATAGTCTATTCATTTACAAAAAACGTGCGAATAGACACTCCATTATTTTAAAGCTAATTTATTTTCTTTTTCATAGGAATTGTTTTGATTATTCTTTAGTTTTTTAAATTTTTTTTAGTTTAAGTTTAAGTTAACGTTTCTTTTTTCAGCGCATTTCTAAAACGTTTAAATCATCAAAACATAAAAGGGATCATCCATAAATTACACAACGCAAAACTTATTTAAAAAATATAAGTAGGAGATCATTTTGGTCTTTCGCGCGGCGGTTTTTTGGCTGGACTTGAAAGGTTGTTTATATACTTGGTTTAATTTAAGACTCTGCGATGGAAAACTTTTAATTCTTGGTCTTTTGTCCATAAGTTTAATTTCGTATTATGTAATTAAATAATTGTATATCTTGTTTATATCTTTATTGTATATCTTGTTCTTTATATGGAGCATAAATAAAACATTTGCTAATATAATCCCAAATCATGCAATATAAAATGTTATATTATACTTCTGAGAATAATACTTTTTAATTCCCAAAGAATAACATTACAGACTTTGTTGTAAAAAGTTGAGCTTGTTAAGCAATATTTAGATTCAAGACATACACAGCATAAAATGCTAAAAGACTTTTTCTGCAGAATGTAATTATTAATTACCTTTAATAAGAAAAGTAAAAATTTTTTAGTATATAAAAATTTTTTTAGTATAAAATTTAGCAAAAGGTTTCAAAGACTTGATATGAAAATAAACAACATGCTCTATACTTATTAGTTTCTGAATAGAGTAGAATGAAGTTTTTAAAATTTAGTTAAACCTAGAACAGAAAGTTTAAACGCACTTGTTTTTTTAATGAGTTTTATTCTTTTAACACATGATAAGCCAATGATGAGATGTAATCTGCATGTTTATGTTATGAGATCTGTTTATTTATACTATGAGTACTCTTATTTTTATCATTTTTTTTGCATCATTTATTTTAAATAAAGACTGTGACTAAGATTTGAACCTTCAGCAATTTTCAACTTTGTCAAAAGATCATATTTTTATGGGTAAAAGAGTTGTCTCATCGAAATCAAATGGCAAGCCATTGGCATGCATAAAATGAAAATGAGCAATTGACAAATTGACATATTTAAATACTTCTGAAATTTCTTCACTTCAGCATTTGCACAACAAAAAATTACTTATCAATTGGTAATGTAAATAATAAACCTTGTATTAGGCATCCAAAAAAACTGTTGGCACCAATAAAAACATACTTTACACGCTAAGCAGACGCAACCAAAGAGCAGGAGTATTAGTTTAAAGTGCAGAAATCAATAGTTCGCTTGCAGACAAAACTGTCATGCGACAATAATATTATATTACAATAATATGAGGCGCCTCACAGGAAAAGGTACCAAGTCTTAGAAATGGAGTTACTGATACAGTTGCATAGAGTTAGGAATAAGCCATAAAATAAAACAAAAATTAGCTTGATAACATCATTATTGAAAAATCTACATAGCTTTTCAAGGAAGTGTTTTAAAAATGAAATTACAGTAAAAAATGACTTTGAAAGTTTGACTTACTTTAAAACTGTGTAAGTTTTACATAGTAATGAAGTTGATGTATATTTTGATTAATTATTTAAAAAACTATTACTAAATAATGATAAAACTGCTCGAAAAAAGAATAAAGTTAGTTTCAATTTTTTCAACATATTTTTTTAAAAACGCGTGTATCTCCGAATCTAGAAACTAAGATTTGGTAGCTTTTCCTGTGAGACGCCTCATATTATATTGCATTCAATAATATTTTATTGCATAAAAAAATTAAATTGGCTTCATGCTATAAGAAAACCTTTGTTGACGTTAACTGATCACTAAATACAAAAAAAATGGAGCAAAGAGCACTAATTCCAAAAAAAATGGAGTAAAGAACACCAAATACGAAAAAAAAGAACATGAATGGATTATGATTACAATGATTACCTTTACTGTTTTTTATTAGCAATAGATTGAAATTATTAGCAGAAAAACAACAGATTTATTTGTCGCACAAATACCAAAAAATATTTAAAGCAACATACAAAGCTGCATTCAAAAAGTTGGTGTCTGAGGATAAATATCATACTCAGACGTTGGCTTTCATAAAATATATGAAGAAGTAAGGATAAAATTTATAAACCAGTATGGGTATTGTGACATAAGAAAATGCTTATTCCTAGTTGCAATTTATTTGAGGCTGATCAAAAATGATTATTTCAACAAGATAATGCTTCATGTCATACAGCACATTCAATCACTGATTATTTTTTTAAAAGTATATTTGAATTATGTCTTGGCATGATCACCTGACTTAAACATGATCAAAAATTTATGGAGATAGATTAATTATCAACTTTCAAAAAAGCATGTATCAAAAACAACAGGGATCATATCCTGTAATAAAACATTTTGATAAAATTTTTTTAGGTGCGTTTAAACTTTATTGCACTTTTTTCTTATTAATTTTTTAATTATTTATTTTTAGTATTTCAGAAAAAGTTTTGTTTTCATCTTTTTAAAGATTTTTTCCTAACTAATAAGCGGCTAAGAATTTTTTTTTTCCCATAACATGTATGTTATAGAAACTCAGTTAAACTCCTTAATATGCAATCAAGTAAAGTAGCTGAAAATAAAATACCAAAATTCAATATAAAATTAAAATACCTATTGTTTCATACAACATACCTATTGATTCATATAACATACCTATTAATTCATATAACATACCTATTGATTCATATAACATACCTATTGATTCATATAACATACCTATTGATTCATACAACATACCTATTGATTCATACAACATACCTATTGATTCATACAACATACCTATTGATTCATACAACATACCTATTGATTCATACAACATACCTATTGATTCATATAACTCTTGTGCAGATTTATGAAATCCAAGACCAAGGATTTGCCTATTTAAAAAAAAAAAAAAAATTAAAAATAATTTTAAAATTAAAAAACAACAGAATATTAAAGGTAATGAAAACTCTTTTGTTTAAAAATAATCAAAAAACAAAAGAACCTTTTAATTACTTTCTTTATTATTCAATGAAAGAGTTTTTTTAAGTTAATATATATATATATATATATATATATATATATATATATATATATATATATATATATATATATATATATATATATATATATATATATATATATGTAATATACTATATAACACAATTTAACACTTATCACTAGTAGAATTTAAATTATAACTGTCATTATTCTAAATATCCAATTTGTTTAAAAGGCATTTAAAAAGTCTCTGCAGGCATTTTTTTGCTCGCAGGCATTGGTATGGCCACCACTTAATGAAATCAAATTCAATAAACTTGGTTTAGACTAGCTAAAGATATGAAACTTTTACAAAGTTTTAAATAACTTTTTTTTAGATTTAATTCAGACCAACAGTTTATTTAGTCTCAACCACATTTAACAAATATATGATATGCATGATACACGAAAAATAATTCATTAAAAAGTCATTAACAAAGACAAGCCTTAGCCATTTCTCATATATTAGCCTGATTTTAGTCTCTCTTAGTCATATATTGGTCTGATCTTATTACCTCTCCCAACACAAAGACAAAGCAAAAAACTTTACCTATAATTTATATCTTAAACCTAATTACCGCACTTCTCCTGTTACCCCAAAAAAACAGGTTAATGCTTCCGCTGCTAAAGCTATTGAATATTTCAGTTCCTCTGTAGCTTGTGGTTTGGAAAACACCTGTCACAGTGAAAAACTTCAGAACTCTCTTCATTGCTTTCATAACTCCTGTCTGCTAGAAAATGGAATTTGTGGTTCTGAAAACTGGTAATATCTTATTTGAGTCTAACTTACTTTCTTTCAAGCAATACAGACTTTATTTCTTTCATTCTACTGATTACTTGTTAACCATTATATTAGGAAAGTTCTTTCAAGTATTTCCGAAAAGCCCTGAGGCTATTATTCTTGACATATCAAAAGCTTCTAATTAAGTCTGGCATACTAGTGTTAAAAATAAGCTTGCATCATAAGAAAGATCTGAGAAAGTTTTAAAAATTATTTCATTCTTTCTAATAAACAAAAAGTAGAGTAGAGTACCCAAATTTTCCCTGACAGAAACTACTTTCCTTCATTTTGAGGGTACACAAGATTTCTCCTTGAACCTGTGTTCTTCATTCATATTGGTGATCTTCCTGATAATCTTACCTCTAAAATGACTGATGACACATCTATATATTCTAGTTTTGACAAATAAAAGTCTTTTTTTTTGACCGCTTAGAACAGGCAGCTGATCTGAAATCTGATGTTCCTTCTGTGACAGCTTGAGGAATAAGTGACTTCTGAATTTTAATCTAAACAAAATTTGTTTACTGCTTGTAATTATCACAATATTATTGATATTCCTATATTGATGAATGGCAGCAACTGAGCCTTTTACATCATGCCTTCATATATACTTGCAGCAACATATCTGTTGCAAAGTTAACACCTATTAAGGTTGGCTCTTTTTCTTATACTCGCTGTTTTCTTACTCTTGATTTCATCATTCATTTTCTTACTCCATATTTTATTATCTACCTCTATAAAACTCATATTTGTCCTCACATAGAATACTATTGCCATATTTGGATTGGTTTTGTATTGAGGCCCCATCTCTTATATAAGGTTCAAGAATGCATTGCAAATATTGCCAAACTTTAGCTTTTTAATAGCAGGGATTATCCTGGCCATATTTTGAAAATCTGGAAAAGTTTTTCCAAAAAATATCCAGAAAACATTTTTTAAAAATATCTGAAAAAATACGGAAATAAAAATGAATTTTGTGTAACTAGGAATATTTCATGTGTTTGAAAAGAAAAATAATTCATTATTGCTACGCATAAATTATTATATTATTTAATGTGTTATTATAAAGTAACTATTTAAAATAAAACATAATATTAACATTATGCACATATTATTAACATTTGCACAATTAGTATTTTAATTCTTCACATTACTAAAATAGCGGCATAATGTTTACAGTGGTAAAGAGGCACCGCAGGATATAGTTGCGAGTTTGAGTCCTCCATAGAGAAGTTGTTTTTAAATTTTTTGAATCCTCTATAAAGAAGTTGTTTTTTAAAAAAAGTTTTATTTCTAAGTAGTTTAATGTTTTTCAACTACTTGTTGTTATTTTTTTCATAGTTTTATAGAAAATGCGCATCATTAGGTACATAAATCGACAGTTAAAACCGTAGTCACAGCGGAGTGTACATAAATTGACTGTCTTATATGGGGATATGGGCAGTGAAGTGTACATATATCCACTGATTGTTTAGGTTTTGGCAGGAACTCTTTTATAAAAAAGAAAATTTCAAATTTCAATCTTATTTAAACAGCGTTTATAAATTAATATAAAAAATTATCAAAATAAATTAAAATAGATTTTTAGGTAAAATAGTCAAAATAATTGATAATAAATATATGCATACAAATAAGGAAAAATTAGTTGTACACATGCACATTTAACTGAATATAACGTAGATTAATTGATGAGCAATACCTTTACTGCCTTATTAGATGACAAAAAAATATTTTAAACTTATTTCAGAAATTTATTTGGATATCTGGAAAAAAAATTTTATTTAAAGAAATATCCGGAATTCCTGAAATACCCAGAAAAAGATAATGACTGTAATAGAATGAGTCTAATCTAAATATTGATAGAATGTTACAACATATTGATAGAATGTTACAACATATTGATAGAATGTTACAACATATTGATAGAATGTTACAACACATTGATAGAATGTTACAACATATTGTCTATATTGATCAAATATTACAAAATGTTCAAAATTACAAAAAAAAAATCTAATAATTATTTTTTTTATTCATCAAAATTTATTAAACTAAAACTTATTTAATAAAAAAAATTTATTAAACTGGCTAATTTTTGAATGAATAGTTATCAACATAATGTCTACCTGTGTGCTATTGTTAGACTTGAAAAATCCTTTACATGTTAAAGAAATGTGTATTTAATTGCAAATCAAAGTTCTTATGCATGATACATGAAAAATAATTCATTAAAAAGTCATTAACAAAGCCATTTCTCATATATTAGCCTGATAAAACATATTTAAATAAAACTTGAAGTAAACATTAAAAAATGTAAAACTAAAATAAACCTTCCAATATCTTCAAAACGTACAACACGAGATTCCAAATTCATCATCAGCATGGATTGTGTTTGTTTTTTAGCTCGAGCCACTTCTACCTGTTTTTATGTTCATTAAAATTTTGTTAATTATGCTTTAGAACATTTAATGAACAATTTTCAAATCAAATAAATTTTTTATATGAAATAAATAAGTAATAAAATATACTTCATGAAATGGTTCAGAAATAAGACGTGTATATTCATTTGTAATAACTTTGACTAAGTCTTTTGCCTTTAAAAAAATAAAAAATACATCGATAAATTAAACTCAATATATTTCTGGAAAATAAACAAAAAAAAACATTTCTTAAAGTTAAAAAAAAAAAGTGCATTTCTTTTCTTATAACTGCAAATGAAAAAACCTTAAAAATAAGTTTAAAAGTTCATTTGCTAAAACATATAAAATAACCATTCAACAATAACTTCATCACTTTTAATGACTTTTTTCCTAAATGAAATTTTTTATAATTTTTACCTACACTACACGACATAATGATAAGACAACCAAAAATATTTTTAAAACTCTACTATACATTTATATTTAAAAACTAATTTTTATAGTAAATGAGAGCAAAGGGATTAAAAGACTAATCAACATTTAAAAAAATTTATTTTAAACCTAACTCTTTATTTAAAAAAAAAACTGTTTTTTTAGTGTGACAAAATTATAAGACACTTTTGGAAAAAATGCATATAAATTGTCATTTATATATAAAGACGTCTCAATTTTAAACAATCAATAGTGGGTACTTTTACCAATTTTTTGAATCACTTCAATCACTCTAGAAGATAAAGAATCATACAATGTTTTTATGTCAGAAATGTCAATTGCATCCCATGCAAATGCGATGAATGATTTTAAGTCAGCTAGTGAACTATATTGTTTACCACCTTCAAATACTATGTGACAGCTGTGCCCAAGCATTCTCAATAATGTTCAGGTCTGGAGATCTATCTAGCCACTTCAATGTTTCAATTTTACTGCTGTTGAAATATTCCTTTACTATCTTAGCTGTATGAACACTAGCATTATCATGCTGAAAAACAAAATTTTCACCATCTATGACAGATGCTTCATGTCTTTAAAATGTCTTCATTGTCTTGAACAATGAAAAGATAATCCTAAGCTTTCATTTTTCCGTCAATAAAATGAATTTTTGATTTACCATGATACCCAATGAACACTAGCATTATCATGCTGAAAAACAAAATTTTCACCACCTATGACAGATGTTTCATGTCTTAAAAATTCTTGAACAATTAAAAGATAATCCTAAGCTTTCATTTTTCTGTCAATAAAATGAATTTTTGATTTACCATGATACCCAATCGCACACCAAATCATTACACCACCAGCAACTATTGACATTGTTGTTGTGTTACTAGTTCTTTACGCAAATCCTGAAAATAATAATTCCATCTATCCGACCCATAGAGATAAAAGTTTTTTGTAAAAAAATACTACTAGTTACCACTCTTCTTTCCATGTTACGTAGTCCTTTGCAAAAGTTATTTGATTGTTTATGTGATTTGTTGTCAAAGGTGGTTTTTGCTGAAGTTTTTTGCGCGAAAGGTGAAAAGCATTATAAATAACTCGCTGAACAGTACATAAATTAGCAATCCCACCTTCTTCTGAGCAATTTGATGTGCAGTTAATGAAGAATTTGGAGCTTGTTTCAACAACCTTCGCCTACCAAGGTCACTTAATGTTGATGAACACCCAGAACTTTTTTTTATTCCATGCATATGAGGAATATTAATGTAGTTTTTAATCACAGCTCGGCTGCGTCCAATAGCTCTAGCCATGCAACTAACGGAGTAACCCATTTTTAATTAGTTAGAGAGCGCTTTTTTCTCATCTGAACTCAACTGACCCATTATTAATTAATGTTATTTTATACTTAATAAAAAAAAAACCTAAACTAAATTTCTAAACAAACCTAAACAATTCACAAAAGTTTAAAGTTAAATAATCGTCTGTGGTGTTTATATCAAATAAAGATTCTTAATTGTCCACCACTGCGGTTTGCAAATAAAACATTTTTTGTGAAACTGTCTTATAATTTTGTTGCATTAAAAAAACGTTTCTTTTTAAATAAATTGCGAGTTACATTGAAAATAAAATTGTTAAAATGTTGTTTTGTGTTGTAAACCCTTTGCTTTCATTTACAATAAAAATTAGTTTTTAAATATAAATGTATAGTAGAGTTTTATAAATCTTTTTGGGGTGTCTTATCATTATGTTGCACAGTATATATCCAAAAAAGAAACAACAAAAAAACAAGCAAGTTAGATTAAATCAACATAATTGTCAATATTTTATAATAAAAATTTTGTTTTAACTAAAAAGACAAAATTAATAATGGATATTTATCCATTATTAATTTTATCTTTTACTAAAACTAACTATTTTAATAAATACATTAATTTATTAAGAGAAAAAAAAAGTCTAAGCAATAAATACTATAGCAATAAATAAACTAGACAAAGTTTAAACAATGTTCATATTGTTTAAATAAAAATAAAATAAAGGATATTTAATAAGTTGACAAGCATCATTATGCTCAAGAATGCTAAAACAATCCTAATTTTAATTAAATTTTTTACTGTGCTCTCTTACGTGAAATGGAGGATGTTGACCTTATATATAAAATTCTATAAAATGCATAAAACACATATAAAAATAATACATACATATATATATATATATATATATATATATATATATATATATATATATATATATATATATATTTTTGCATGTAGATACATACATATATATATATATATATATATATATATATATATATATATATATATATATATATATATATATATATATACACACACACACACACACACACACACACACACACACACACACACACACACACACATATATATATATATACGCTCACACACATCAACTTTGAAAAAATTTTAAAATTATTATGATGAAACTTTTTTACTTAAAGTCTTTGCATATATAGAGTGATCAGATAGAGTGTAACTATCTGACAGTGCAGGGTTCAAATCCTATAATATGTATTTGTGTAAAAATACAATATGTAATTGTGTAAAAAAATGTAAATATTTTCTTTTTTTTATTTTCATTAAAGTTTTTTTTCATTATATTTGATTTTATTTGAAATCCTTACCATTACCTAAACTTTTATGATTGGATACTTACATAATTACACTCATTGTACGATTTGTTGAACCTAGCAACACAATTGCGGTTTGAACACCATACTTTAAGATCATTAAATATCTTTTATACCAAGAGAAACAGAACACTGATCCGGTCCTTATTTACTTGAGATCTTATTTTTCACGCTGGATTCTATATCTGATTTTTCACATTTAGAGTACATCCTTGAGTACTATCCAGATCTTTTTTTTTCACTATGTTTATGTGGTGTATGCTTATAAGCGCCCATTTTGATCCACCTTATTGTGCAATTTTTTATGTTTTTTGTGAATTTTTGTGTGTAATTTTTTATGTTTTTTATGTAATTACATACAAACAAAAATAAAACTAATAAGTGCTATATAAATCTAATATATATAGAAGATGTATAACTAATCAGAAATTTGCTAAATTTAACCATTATCCAGACATTTGCTAAAAACAAGTTGCTCCAATAAACTCTAAAAATTAAATATTTAGTTTTTGGAATTAGTTAAAAATATAAGATATTTGATTTGCTGATTGTTGGTGAAAATAAAATATTGTTTATGTAGTTTTTTATCAAAATTAGTTTTAAAAAATTGTAATAAAATGTTAATTCCATGTCAAATGACCCAGATTTAAAAATGTCACCCTATATCTCAAATTTTGTTAATTTTTATACAGTTGTAAGTACTTAGTAAAATAAGAACTCCTTGAAAATTTAGCCTCTAGCTTCAAGAAGATCCAGAAATATGATCATTTTACTTTTAGTAGATACTAGCCAGCGCCAGGTCTGAGGGGACAAGCGTCCCTTCAGAACTGCAATATTTATTTAGAGGTTTCAAGTCACAATTTTAAAAATATTTGATTTTTTTATTAAGTAACTGTATTTATTAATTTAAATAAATTTTGGCAATTTTTTATATATTAGATTTTGATGCTCAAGAAACCCATGATATCTAAAAAAAAAATTTTACACATCATTCTATATTTATTGAACTTTCAGAAAACCCATGATATCAAAAAAAAAAAAAAAAATTTTACACATCATTCTATATTTATTGAACTTTCAGAAAACATAAGGATTTTGATCTGCAAGTATATGAATTTCCATATGTGGATAACAGGGCACGGTCCCCCTTTTTTTTAGTGGAATATTACATTTGATTTTTCTTTTCTTGATTTTAGACATTTCTGTAGTGCTGATAAATGCGCATGTTAAAATTGTTTCTAGGGCCTAAAAACTTGGTGGGGGTTGGGGTGTTGGTGTGGCGTTTGGATCAATTTTGCGGAATTTTGCTATAGATTTTTTACTACTTTCCAGACAAACTGAAGCTCTGAAATTTCAGCAATTGTGTAATCCTGATTAACAAGTGTTTTAATTGTTTCCAGGACAGACAAACAAAGGGTCAATGAGGCCTGAGCACCGGGGGCTTGAGCCTTTTTTGAAATTTGTTTTTTTCCTGACTATATTACTTTATAGTTATTCCATTTGGTTTTTGATCATTTTATATTAAATTATTTTTTTTATAATATTTTAAGAAAGTTCATTTGTTTATAAGAATTTTAACTTACAAGTATACAGGTTAAAAACAGCCATCCATCTAAAATAATGATTTTAACAGTATTTTACTTTTGTATAATTTTAAACTTTTTACAACTTAGTAGTTAGTTTTACAGTAAAAATGGATTTATGTCATTTTAGAAAACTGTCATATAATGATACTTGTAATAAACTAATTTATTGTTAAAGACTGATTTAATGAGATTTGATTATCATAGAGAATTAATTTAGAGAATTAATTTAGAGATCTGGAATTACACGACAAAATTTGAAGTCTGCCACCATCATAAAAAGATTAAATAAAGTAGAACAATAACTAATTATCAATTTAACCCAGAATCTATGGAATCTATTAGCTTTGAAAGAACAAGTGTCTATATAAGAGGCTTTTTTTTTTTGATATATAGAAATTTGATGAGATAATTCTGGGTAAATACTGTGTTAATACATTTCAACTTTAGATAGAACATTAAATGCAAACGTTTGCCTATTGAAGCCAAACCTAATTAGCTATGCTACTCAAAAGCAAAAAATTAAGTAAGTTAAAAGCTAAAAATGAAAAAAGTTCTTATAGCTTTAAAAACGTCTTTACTTAAAGATAAAAATGAAGCAGGTTTACTTATTCTAGAAATGAAAATGAAAAAAGCTTACTTCTTTAAGTTATGACTACAAACAAAATCAAAAACTATTTAAAAAAAAAGAAAAAAAAAGTACAATATGAATTGTATTTTAAAAATATACTTCACTAGGATGTGCACTTGAATGTATGGCAAAAAGTCCAGCATCAGCATATGAATGATTGAATGCGGCAGAAGAAAACATCCAATGTTTACGATTAAGCACATTAGTATATAGTCGTGAATACATCCCTTTACCTGGACCTCCTGCAGAAAAAGAACCTCCACCACCTAATAAAGTATTAAGAACAGCAAAAGAGAACATATCTTTATCTGCATAATTTGCACCTTCAAATGCTATAGCAACATGAACTAATTCTGGTAGTTGTGTAATTCCAGGTTGAAGTCGTGGTTCTGGCCGATGATCCTGAAAAAAATTGATTTTTATATAAAATTTGTAGATTGCCTAAAATTAACTTTTTTTAAACAGACTATACAAATCCTAGATTAAGGTGTTTCATTTCCAAGAAACTTTTCAAAAATGTTTTTTGCGTAAGAGGGTAAATAATGGGCAAAAAAGAAATCTGTAAATTTTTTTAAAATTTAAAACTATCATCTAAATGTTGCCATCTTGAAAAAATGGTATATTTTACACTTTTTTCAACTTTAAATTTAAATAAGTTGAAGAATAGTTTCATGTTGTTATTTGGTGTATTTGTTATTTTGTTATATTAAAGGGGATCAGATGAACAAATGGCCAACTTTTCAGAGAAATTGGTTAATGTCTAGACGTCGCCATATCAAAAATAATTTAGCTACAAAACCTTTCATTTTTTTAAATGTAATTAAAATTCAATCAAGCTATTTTTAGTTTTTCTTAAAAACATTTATTAATTAAAATACTAATATAAAAAATACTATAAAGTATTAAGTTTTGATTTCAAAAAAGATGGCTTTTGCTTTCTGTGTTGTTCAACAACTTATAAAATAAATTGATGTTGCTCTTCACTTTGCACACACTATCAACATTACCATGGCTCAATTAAAAACTTTAAAAAGGTTGAAGAATTTTAATGTTGGAAATTTTAGTTTACCAATTAAAATCTTTTTGGTCTAGGGGTAGAAAAAATTTTCTTTGCCATCATTGTTCTGATGAAGTCAGACAGTTTTCATTAAATAAAGATAAAATAACAAGGTCTTTGGTTAAATACCAAAGGTGTTGGTTATTCAATAAAAACACAGCAGTTTCAATATATGAATCCTCTTCTTGATAACAGTTCGTTGCATTAAAAAAATATGAAGCCATCAACAGTAGTGAATATGAAAATTATTGAGCAGTTTCACTTGCATTGAATAAAAAAAACTAATAAACTTTGCCATGTGGTGGATCATAATTTGCTCATCATCGAACATAATAAATTACAGAACTAAACTTACTTGATTAAATATTTCTGATTAAATGTCAGTGAGCCAATCAAAAAAGTAAAGTTTGAGCAATCAATATCAATTCTTGAAAATTTAGCTGTTAAACATTTAAAAATAGGTTCATCTGGACTTTTGATATTTGCTATTGATACAGTAAATGCATATTTGATATGTAGGTTGTTGTTATCATGGTGACATGCTAGCCAAAAGAGCAGTCTCTTTAATCAATTTCAATTAAAGTTGCTGCTCCTTTTTTATTACCTGTGTTGCTGGCTGTTGTATACAATGTAAGGTAAAGTGAAAAGCACCCCTACATACACACTAAATAGTTTTGAAAGTTGTTTTCTGACTTATTTACAGTATGCAAAGCATTTACAACATGCTTATCAATTTATAAAAAAATGAACATTCAATTTAATTTGAAATCAAATTTACTCATGCACAGTGAAAGTAAAGACCAAGTGCAATTAAGAGCAAAGAGAAAAAGAGAAACTCACATGCAAGGAAAAAAAATATTAGAAAACTGAATCAAGTCAGTGAAAAGCAATACATTTCCTCAACAGGAAAAACTGTGAAGAATAAACCAAAGAAGACATGTATAGCATGTATTTTAGCACAGAAATACAAAAATATATTTTTAATAAGCTTTGGATTGGTAATGCATTGTGGGGCAAGAAAAATCAGTATGTTGTTTCTGCCTAGAAATTGAATCTGTGAAGCAATCAAGATAACAGAACATTGATAACAGAAAACATAGTTAAAATTAGAGTATGGAAGACCTTTTTTTAAATACTTTTTGTATTAGCGAGTATATTAAACATTTGATGAACTAAATTCAGTCTTGAAAAACCAGACTAAAAGGGCAAACACTCTCCAATAATAAAACAGCATGGTCAACACCATTATAAAAAAATTATTGAAAAGTTCTCTGGATACGAGAGCCATTACAGCGGGAAACATGATGCAAAGAACAAAAAAAAAAAAAAAAAAAAAATCTTGGCAAATATTTCAATATCAAGAAGATAATCTTTAGATTGAAGAATCTAAAGTTTAAAGAATTTATTTACAATCTTTAGATTGAAGAATCTTTAGGTTGAAGAATGTACTGCAAATTAAGTGGTGATGGGAAAGAAGTGGCTCTACTGTAAAAGGTTTTATCAAAACTTTTTTTGATAAAACCTAAAAACTTTTTTTTTCGATTATCCCAACAAAAACAAACATTGCCTGAGTGATTATTTTTTCAATGAACTTTCGACATTCTATTTCTAATCTTTTTTCTTTTAAATGATCACATTTAGAAGAAAAAAGATGGGAAGCTATTCTATAAAACTTCCTTCAAAAAATAAGGCTTCTATGTGGTAGATTTGAAAAGAAATAAAAGGAGGCCTGCTAAGATTCTGGCAAGTGTTCTGCAATTGAGAGTGGACAAAAATCATATCAGCAAACAAAAATGCCAGGATATCATTACAATGTTGCAATAGCAGGCTTGGACAGAAATGGCATGCAACCACACGCTGTAACTGACCACACTTATTATTATTTTTTTACAATTTGACCACAGCTGCTTTAATGTTTTAACAATTTAAATGCAATAAAAAATCGTTACGCTATGAATAACTTTTAATCATTGATCTTTTCTGAAGTTTTTATTTTACGCAAAGACTTTAAATAAAATAGAAAAATTAATTATAATGATTGTTTAAAATAAACTCATTTTTTAAATGTAAATTAAATGTTATATTTATATATTTTTAGTAGGCATGTATTTTTTATGATAAATTTAAACACTTAAAAATCTTTTTTTATGTCTTTCAAAAAATCTTTTAAAAGATTAGTTTTTAAAGTTACTTTAAATTGTGAATAAGTTAAATTAAAATCTTCCCAATGCACAGTGGGTCAGAAGCCGACAAAACCATACAAAAAAGTTTTAAAATTTTGAAATTTTGAAAAAGGCAAATTTTGCTCAATATATTATAAGCCAGAAATTATACTTTATTAAAAAATACTTTTTCAATAAAACGTCATATTTGTTGTTTAAATATTTCCTTAAATACTTTTTATCAATAACAACAAAAAAGTGTGAAAATTTTTTTTTTTTACATCTTTTGAAAACTTTGATTTCTTATTTTAAAGTAGTTTAAGTTTATTTTTTAACTTATAAATGACTTATATAGTATTATGCTAATATTTAAATCACATAAAAAAAAAAATTTTTTTTTGCATTTTATATAAATATTTTCAACAATGCAAACATCAATAATTTTGAGTTATGTTTTTATTTTTTTCAAAAATATCATTTAAAACCATCGGATCAACCTGTATCAACCGCTTAAAATGATATATAATTGAATACCAATATGACATTGATCTTGTGGTATAAAAATTGGCTGCCTATAGCTGCCTAAACGAATACGCTTTTAAATTCAATTAACTACGCCCACGTTTCTTGTTAATGCGCTTTTGATCGGTAACAAAAAATTTAAGAAGATGTAAAATTTAAAAACTGCAGTTTGACTTTATAATAATTTTTATTAAAGAAATAAGTTCAAAATTAAATATTTTTGTATTTTTTAATTGCTTTCCAGTAACTTCCTCGTACTTGCTCAATGAACATTTAGATAGCATTGAAACCATTATTCCTAATTTTTTATGCTACCATTTTAAAGTAATAAAAACTCAGAGACTGTGATAAAATATGAATTATATACTTCTACGTAGTACAAGTTTGGGACATAATATTTATTATTTGTTTTATAATTTCCGAAAACAATAAAATTATATGTAATCGATAAAAAACACGATAACAACCAATGAGAAATAAAGGAAAGGAACTGAGTTTCATAGTTACTGCTAATAAAAAAATTACTTTATTAAAAGCATTTTAAATTACTTTCTTTCAAATTAAAAGTATTTTATTGAACAGACAATCTCTTAAAAATGGATAGGAGATGTCTTATGAATTATATAATGGAAAACAATTTACTACAAAATGATGATTTACATGCAAAGACTTTGAGTTTTGTTTCCCAAAGCAATTTTGAAGAATCTAATGATAACTTGTCAATTATTTCGAAATTCATTTACCAAGCTAAAAACAAGTGGAAAAAATCGAATAGAACAAGTGCAGTATTTGAAAAAAGATATAAAGTTTAATTAAACCAAACTATATTTGAATGTAAAAAAAAAAAAAATTGAAACAAAAACCTGTGATATGTTTACTTTAACTATGTGTAAATTTATTATGTGTATAATTTATTTGTATTATTATTACGACGATTTAATAATTGATAAAATAATATTATACTTTAAGTTGCACGCCCTTCGATTTTGTTTCAAGATGCGTCTGTGAGAACTTAAGATCGCATAATTAAAGAGCTTTTGAGTAAATATAATTTAAACGAACTTTTATATGCAGCAAGTAAAAGTTTGAAAAGGGATAAAAGGTTTATAGAAGCAAAAGTGGTTAAAAAATATACAACAAAGAATTATCGACAGAATCACTTACTTCAGAACAATCATTAGCGCTAGTCTTAGATGCTAATTTATCCAAAGAAATTTATCAGCATTTAAGAAACAATGCTCTTCCATTCAGCTCTCTTTACCCATCCTATCATATTGTAAAAGAGGCTAAAAATAAATGCTACCCTGAAAACATTCAGGTCAGTGACTACTCTGCAGAGGTTCCATTACAAGTTCTTCTTTTTCATACTGCATCAAGAATATGTTCAGCTTATAGTGTTGTGTTAAATTCACCTGTGCTTAAAGATTGTACTAAACTATTTATAATATACAAAGCTGGTTTTGATGGTGCAACAGGACAATCTGTTTATAAACAACTGTCAGATGTTTCTAGTGAACTTCATACAGATGAATCACTTTTCATGCTTGGTTCCTCTAGAACTATATTGTTTCAAAGATGACAAAAAACAGGTTGTTTGGAGAAATCCGAAACCATTGTCAACTAATTACTGCAGACCTCTGAGATTTAAATATAGAAAAGAAGCAAATGAAGTAACTCTTGCAGAATATGAGTCAATTATGGCTTCTATTAAAGAGATAACATTATCTGTTGTACCTGTTTTATTGGAGGACAGTACAACAAAGGAAGTTGAAATACAACATATTGTAAATTTAACAATGATAGATGGAAAAATTCAAACTATTATTTCCACAGCAACCAACTCATACCAATGCTGTTCAGTGTGTGGTGCATCTCCAATCGAAATGAACAATTTATCTTTAGTTGTTCAAAAAAAAACTTTAGAAGGCAATATAAAACATGGCGTTTCAACTTTGCATGCTTGGATAAGGTTTTTAGAATGTATGCTCCATATCTCTTATAAGATGCCGATTATGAAGTGGCAGGCTAGAAATCAAGACGAAAAAAATATTGTTAAACTGAGAAAGCTTGAAGTCTGTGCTGAACTTCGAACAAGGATAGGTCTTGTCATAGACCAACCGAGAATAGGTGGGGCAGGTACATCAAACGATGGCAACACAGCTAGGCGATTTTTTCAGCAATACGATGTCTCAGCTAGTATAATGAACATCGATGTAGATCTTATGAAAAGGCTTCATATTATTCTGGCCACAATATCAAGTGGTTATGAAATTAACTCATTTAAATTTAAAACATTCTGTTGGGAAACTTCTTCGCTCTATGTATTCCTGTACCCTTGGTATCCTATGACTCAAACACTTCATAAGATTTTGATTCATGGCTATGAAGTCATTGAACTATTTACTCTTCCATTAGGTATGTTTTCTGAAGAGGCTCAAGAGACTACCAATAAAGTTTTTAAGATTTTTCGTGAAAATTTTACAAGAAAATGCCATCGGAAAAAAAACAATATAGACCTTTTTCACCGCCTTTTATGTGCATCTGATCCTTTAATTTGCACATTAAGAAAGATACATAACAAAAAAAAAAGTCTACCATCTGGTGTACTTGAACTATTGCAAGAGCCAACGATAGAATACTCTGCGTTAAACATAAATTTAAATATATCCTTGTTGTTAATTTTGTTAGGTAAAAACGGAATTTTTTATAAATGGATAATAAATGAGTTTTTTAATAATTTGCGTAATTATGTAATAAAATTTGAAGTTTTTTAAAAAACAAATGTTATTTTTTCCACAAATTATGTTTTTCAATATAATAAACTGTTTTTAATTAAAAAAAATAAAAAAATTTTGGTTTTAGAGGTTTTGGCTAGGAAATGTCACTTTTGACCCACTGTGCAATGCAATCATTGCTTTACTTGTTTCTATTTTTACAAGGAATCATTTAATTTTTTTTTTTAAACTCGACTTACTTATGAAATGATTAAAAATTGCTTTTTTAAATAATTTACTAATGAAATGATTAAATTTTTTTATAAAGACTATTTTATTATCAAAAAAGTTTTTTTTTTGCAATTTTTTGAAAAAAATGATTTATTTTTTTATTTTCAATAATTTAATTTCAGTTTTAAATAACTTGAATAAAGTTTTTTTATTAAGCAATCAGTAGAAGTAATTTATTTATTAAGCAATCAGTAGAAGTAATTTATTTATAAGGCAATCAGTAGAAGTAATTGTTTTGCGTAACTTAAAACCTCTCAAAAGATAAGTTTTAAAGTAATTTCAAACGCAATTAATTAAAAACGTAACAAGAAATAATTTTTGCTTTGAGTTTTATTTTAAAGCTTATATTCTTTTTTGTAAAGATTATTAAAGCTTATTTTCTTTTTTGTAAAGATTTGTTTTTTTTTTCTTTAATTTTAAAAAACTATTTTGCAAGTTTAAGTTTAGCTTAGCATTTCTTTTTTCATCACGTTTCTGAAATGTTTAAATGTTCAAAACATTTAAACAGACAAGGTCAAGTTGTCAACATATATGTGGTCATCAATAACGTTTGATTGCATACCATTCCTGTCAAAGCCTGAATGGGTTCCTGAGAAACTCAAGATTATTTTAAGCAGTTATTTTTAAAGATGATACTTTAAAATCACTTTTTTTTACACCAATTTTTATGCCAATAAAATAACAAATTAGTGATTAAAATTTGACTCATCTTTTTAAAATACAAACAAACAAACTTTATACAAACATAAACTGAAAATAAAAACCTCAGTGGGAAACAAGATAAGTTAACTCCATACAAACATGAACTGGAAATAAAATTTATTAGAGCAAGGAAGACTTAAGTCTATCAATACCTTGAATAACATTTTTTTTTACAAAACTTACTCATCATATATAGTGTATTATAAATTGCACATAATGTATGAATATTTATTTCTTAAACCAATAATTAGGAAAGTTATGAGAGAATCTTTATATATATATTTTATATATATATATATATATATATATATATATATATATATATATATATATATATATATATATATATATATATATATATATATATACATATATATATATATATATACATATATATATATATATATATACATATATATATATATATATACATATATATATATATATATACATATATATATATATATACATATATATATATATATATATATATATATATATATATATATATATATATATATATATATATATATATATATATATATATATATATATATATATATATATATATATATATACAGTAGCTTTCATAAATTTAGACGCATTCATTTTTTTTTTCATACATGTAAGAAAATACTCAAAATAAAAATAAAATAAAAGTGCTACTGCTATGTTTGATATATAATTTAAAAGAGGAGGTAAAACTCTATTATAGAGTACCTTAATTTTTTTTACAGGATGTTTATTACTCATTCTATACCGATTAACACAAAAAAATTAATTGATAGGCTTGATTTTATTTTGTTCATAAATTTAGACGCACAATCAAAAAAGTCTTATATCTTGTTAATTGATAGTTAATTAGTAGTTTTTTCCCATATTTCTCATTAATAGGCCTAAATTAATTGATTTTGTCAAAAAACCTTATATAAATATGACTTACCTGGAACTAGTTAACCATTATTTAATAAATAAACAAAAGTTAAGTTAGTTTTGCACTAAAAAGACTTGAAAAATGGGCAAAAGACGTATCACTCAAGGTGAAAGATGGCAAATTATTGCGCACATCAAAGAAGGAACCAAAAGTAATAGAGAAATCGCCAAGTTAATTGGATTTTCTGAGAAATGCGTTCGGACAACGAAACAAAACTTTCTTCACACTGGTGGTGCCAGCGAGAAAACGAGGCCAGGTAGACCCTTGTCAACCACCAGAAAGGACGACAGTGTTCGTTTTAGAGCTGTCAGAGCTAATCCAAGAATTAGTTATGAAGAATTGACCACAGAATTCAATACAACGCGAAATACATCTATTTCTCAAAGCATAGCCCGCTGAATACTTATCAAATACAAGATTGGAGTCTACACTGCTTTGAAGAAACCACTTCTGCGTCCATATGATAAACAAAGGAGACTAAAATGGTGTCGTGAAAGAAGGTATTGGACAATAGAACAATGGGAAAACATTATGTGAAGTGATGAGAGTAACTTTGAGCTTATCAATCGCAAATCTAACATAACAGTCAAAAGAATGGCTCACGAAAAGTATTAAAGTACAAAGTGGAGGAGGCTCGATAGGAATCTGGTTATGCTTCAATTACAAAGGTGTTGGTATGTGCCAATGATAAACCATGGAAAGGTGTTGGTATGTGCTCAATGATAAACCATGGAAACTTCAACAAGATGGCGCTACTGCACATACTGTATACTATACAAAGGAGTGGTTCAACAATAATAATATCATGGCAATACCGTGGCCTCCATACTCACCTGATTTGAACCCGATTGAAAATGTTTGGGCTTGGATTGACCGTGAATTAGCAAAGGTTCAAATTTCCACACTTGGTCAGCTGAAGGAATTCCTTAAGGAGACCTGGTATGAGGTCCTAGAAGCGATGTGCAAAAAATGCACATTGCTTCTAGGACCTAGAAGCGTTAAAAAACTAAAAATTTCTATTCTAGAAGATGTTAAAAAACTAAAAATTTCTATTCTCAAATATGAGTGCGTCTAAATTTATGAAAACCACTGTATATATATATATATATATATATATATATATATATATATATATATATATATATATATATATATAAATATATATATATATATATATATATATATATATATATATATATATACATATAAAAGAAAAGATAGAATACCTTCAAAATGCCTCCTGTATACTGTGCAATAGAGCGATCTGGATCAATTCTGTGTTTTATAATAGGGGCATTATCTACGAAAAACTTCTTACAGTATTTAACTAGCTCCTCATGATTCACATTAACTCCAGATATAGTGATTCTTTCTGGTCGGTAATATCGATTCATATAGTCTTTTAATATGCACGATGAAAGCTTTGAAATACTATTTTGTGGACATAACTTTGGCAAACCCAAAGTGTTTCCATTAAAAGCAGCCTGTTAAAAAATTGTTTAAAATATTATTTTCAAAACATCATTATAATAACACACATACACACAAATAACTTACTGTACTTAGCTATGATAAAAAAAAACAGATAACTCTTTTAAAAAAAATTAAAAAAAACAAAAGACCATTCATATAAAATCTTTGGAATAAATTAGTGTATAAAATTTCAAAAAACCTTTTTTTTAAAGATTAAAAAAAAACTAGAAATTATATCTAGAATTACATTGAAAAAAAATGAGGAAAAAAGCAGATAAGAAAAAAATAAAAATAAAAGCATTTTTTGATAAACAATTTTTTTTTTGCAACTTTTTTCAGTCAGTATATTAAGGAAATTATTATTAGCACTAGAAACACTGACAATTTTAAAATTTGTTTTTCATATGTTTTTGCTAAACTTTACTATTTTTATCAAAGCACAGGAAAGCGAGAAAACTAATTGCTATTTATTTGCAAAAATAAAAATGTTTTTTTAAACAATTTTTTTATGTAAAAAATAAAAAGCTATTAATACTTTTGTTTAAATATAAAATATTTGGTCGTTTACTACCCCCATTGAAATAGTCTGCACTTTTGTTGGATTATCCAAATTTTGAAATGCCCTTTCTAGAGACTTGTTTGTTTAATAATTCTCCTCTGTCAAATATTCTATATTACAAATACACTCACATCCAATAATTTATCATTGTTAACACAAATTTTTTTAAAGATTTTAGTTAAATCCCTTGAAAAAAAAAAAAGTCACACAAAAAATATATTTTACCAATTTTGTAGAAATCCTGTATGCAAAAAATTAGAGTTCCATTAGAGAAAGAAATACTATGAAGTAATTATTATTTATTCTTAAAACAAAGTAAATTTTTTAATGAACCATTTAATATCTGATAATATTTTTTATTGATTAGTTGGATTCCTTTTTTATCCTTCTACTATTGTATTATAATTAATCAAATAATCCAATCCAATTCAATTACATAATCCAATCCAATTCAATCATGTAATCAAATAAAATTCAATTAAATAATCAAATAAATTGAATTATATAAACAAAAACAATTTAATCATATAATCAAATACAATTATATAAACAAATATAATTGAATTATATAATTAAATACATCATGAAATCAAAAAAAAAAAAAATATGAACTGTATCATGAAATCAAAAAAAAATTCAATCATATAATCAAAAATAATTCTTCTCCTCATATTCTAACTTTTTAAGAAGATATTAAATTGTTTATTTAGAAATTTACTTTACTTTAAGAATAAGTATAAATACAAGAAAGGTAAATTTAAAAGTTAAAGATGAATTGTAAAAGTTATTTATTATATATGTGATATTCTATTAATGATGGGTGGGCCATGGATCAGCAGTTTATGGATTTGTGGCTTTGTGACATGCAGTATCATGGGTAAAGCCTCACAAACAACTTTGCTGTTTCTGTGCACATCATGGTAAACTTCTCAGTATTTTTTTCATGGCCACTTAATATGCTTGAAAAATAATGTGCAATCTTGAAATTAGGTCTTTGTTGGCACCAGTTATATTTGCAAAAGAGTTGGCATCACTAAAAGCTCATTAAGAAGTGTTGCCCTCATTGGATGTACCAGATCCTCCGGACTTTTCTTCAGCAGTCCCATCTGCTGAGGAAAAGTTTCTTGGATTTGAGACTGTTTCAGCAACTTGTGCTTTATCTTCTGCAGTTCTTGCTTGCCACTTTTTGATGACTTTTCCATCAATCATTGTTATTTCAGTGACATGCTTTACTTACAGTTCTTTTCCATTTTCTAATACAATTTTTGTGCTATTTAAATTGCTAATTGTTGAGATTCTTCAGTAATTAATATATCTTTAGACTCTTTTTTAAACTGAAAGCACAAAGGGCGATAATACAGAGTTGAATATGGTTTATGGTTTTGTCATAGGGATGTCTTTTTTCCACCAGCAAATGTGCTTAAGTCAAGTGGTACTACACATGTTAAAAACAGTGACTCTTCTTTTTTTAAGTTTGGAATACCAACTTCAGACACTGTTTACTTGTAGACACTTTGTCCAGTGGAGCCATTTGTCCAGTTTGTCCAGTGGAGGCATCAAATTCTGCCTTGTGTCTTAAAGTATCAAAAATGGCTGGGTCTAGCAAACTTTACATTGAGATTTTAGCATAATAATCACTTATCTCTATTTCATTTGGATAACAAGATAATTTTGCTGCCTTTATAATGTGGTATGAAGGATAAAGTCACAGTTTTTTCTCACAGATTTGAGAAAAAAAATTGGATGTAGTTGATATCCATATTTGGTCATATTTGTATCTAAAATTAAAGTTAGAGCCTCATTGCCAGAGATGTTTGGGATATTTTGTCACTATTGTCAAAAATATAAAGTACATAATGGACCTCATCAAGTTTATCAAAATCATCAAATCACATCATCAAATCACATCATCACACAATCAAATCACATCATCAAATCACATCACATATCATCAAATCACATCACATCATCAAATCACATCATCAAAAGACACATAATAAATATAAATGTAATAAAATCAATACTACAAGAACATTACAATTAACCTCAATGCAAAAACAATGTAACTCAATTTTTACAAATTGTTTTAAACTATTTGTAAAAATTGAGTTACATTGTTTTTGCATTGAGGTTAATTGTAATGCTCACATATATAATAAATAACTTTTACAATTCATCTTTAACTTTTAAATTTACCTTTCTTGTATTTATACTTATTCTTAAAGTAAAGTAAATTTCTAAATAAACAATTTAATATCTTCTTAAAAAGTTAGAATATGAGGAGAAGAATTATTTTTGATTATATGATTGAATTTTTTTTTTGATTTCATGATACAGTTCATATTTTTTTTTTTTGATTTCATGATGTATTTAATTATATAATTCAATTATATTTGTTTATATAATTGTATATGATTATATGATTAAATTGTTTTTGTTTATATAATTCAATTTATATAAACAAAAACAATTAATGCAAAATAGTTTAAAACAATTTGTAAAAATTGAGTTACATTGTTTTTGCATTGAGGTTAATTGTAATGTTCTTGTAGTATTGATTTTATTACATTTATATTTATTATGTGTCTTTTGATGATGTGATTTGATGATGTGATGTGATTTGATGATATGTGATGTGATTTGATGATGTGATTTGATTGTGTGATGATGTGATTTGATGATGTGATTTGATGATTTTGATAAACTTGATGAGGTCCATTATGTACTTTATATTTTTGACAATAGTGACAAAATATCCCAAACATCTCTGGCAATGAGGCTCTAACTTTAATTTTAGATACAAATATGACCAAATATGGATATCAACTACATCCAATTTTTTTTCTCAAATCTGTGAGAAAAAACTGTGACTTTATCCTTCATACCACATTATAAAGGCAGCAAAATTATCTTGTTATCCAAATGAAATAGAGATAAGTGATTATTATGCTAAAATCTCAATGTAAAGTTTGCTAGACCCAGCCATTTTTGATACTTTAAGACACAAGGCAGAATTTGATGCCTCCACTGGACAAACTGGACAAATGGCTCCACTGGACAAAGTGTCTACAAGTAAACAGTGTCTGAAGTTGGTATTCCAAACTTAAAAAAAGAAGAGTCACTGTTTTTAACATGTGTAGTACCACTTGACTTAAGCACATTTGCTGGTGGAAAAAAGACATCCCTATGACAAAACCATAAACCATATTCAACTCTGTATTATCGCCCTTTGTGCTTTCAGTTTAAAAAAGAGTCTAAAGATATATTAATTACTGAAGAATCTCAACAATTAGCAATTTAAATAGCACAAAAATTGTATTAGAAAATGGAAAAGAACTGTAAGTAAAGCATGTCACTGAAATAACAATGATTGATGGAAAAGTCATCAAAAAGTGGCAAGCAAGAACTGCAGAAGATAAAGCACAAGTTGCTGAAACAGTCTCAAATCCAAGAAACTTTTCCTCAGCAGATGGGACTGCTGAAGAAAAGTCCGGAGGATCTGGTACATCCAATGAGGGCAACACTTCTTAATGAGCTTTTAGTGATGCCAACTCTTTTGCAAATATAACTGGTGCCAACAAAGACCTAATTTCAAGATTGCACATTATTTTTCAAGCATATTAAGTGGCCATGAAAAAAATACTGAGAAGTTTACCATGATGTGCACAGAAACAGCAAAGTTGTTTGTGAGGCTTTACCCATGATACTGCATGTCACAAAGCCACAAATCCATAAACTGCTGATCCATGGCCCACCCATCATTAATAGAATATCACTACTAATTGGTATGACAAGTGAAGAAGCACAGGAGACAAGCAATAAATTTTTCAAGCAGTTTCGTGAACCTCATGCTTGAAAAGCTTCAAGACATACGGCAAATGAGGATGTTTTGAAAAGGTTTCTAAGCTCATCTGATCCTATCATAGCATCATTGAGACAAACTGGCAGTGTTTGAGTTATTAATGTCAGGAGAAAACATTGTAAATTTATAAATCACATCATTTAAATATATGCAGATATTGATGGCATCCATGAAGTTGTAAATTGTGTATGAATTGAGTTGATAATACATGAAAGTATATTTGCTATCAAAAACAATATGCTGGTATTTTTAAATATGTATTGTGTGAATTAAAAATAAATCCTGGTATTTTTAAATATATGCAATATGCTGGTATTTTTAAATATGTATTGTTTGAAGTTAACTTGATAAAATTAAAAAAATTAAAATTCTTTCATTGAATTTTTTTATTAATAAAAAATACAATTAATATTTTTTTTCTTTTAATCAAAAATTTATTTAGAAGATTCCAAATATGTTATTTAAAGCTAATTTAGTAATATTTTATATAAAACTAATTTTGGCACAAAAATGGGCAATATGACCCACTGTGTGAGGTCATCTATTGAGATAAGTAGACATAAAAACTAAAGGAAAAATAATAAAGGAAA